TTGAAAATGATGCACGCTGTAGCATCGAAACGTCGTTTAATAAATGTAATATCGCTATCATTTGTTTCAAAATTATTTTCAAAAAAGTTTTTGATTAAGAATCACATCGCTGATCAAATTGTGAAACGTCGAAAAATCAAGAGGTTTTTGCAAAAACATGTCTGTTTCTTACGCGCCTACCAAGATAAAGGTTCCAGATGGTTTTGGAACGTTAATGGAAGATTTGACAAAACAAATCTTGGCTGAACAGCCCGAAGACCTGATTGGTTTTGCTGCTACATATTTGAGAGGAAAACTACATTATATGAAAGGTAGATATACTTTGTTAATTTTTTCGTGTTTCAAACACACGTCTATTGCTATCTGAAACAATACGAAAATACGGATAGCTGTGTTTAAATAATTTTATTCATGTACGATTGGCAGTATCGTACAGATTTAATCATGAAGTGCGAATCGAAGGGTGAAAATTACGAGGTGCAATGCGAACTTTTTGGAATTACGAAAAGCACATGGGATTTTTAGCACTTTTTACGGACTTCTAAGATTTTCTCAAGATTTGCAAAGACTTAAGGCGGTTTTCCACTAGGCGAAATTTTTCGACCGAATCGAAATTTCCCTTTGTTTCATGAGCTCTCGAGCAGAACTAATTGTAACAAGACAAAGAGAAATTTCTTTTCGGTCGAAAAATTCCACCTCGTGGAATCAGGCCTTTAAGGGATTTTTAGAGACTTTGAGGGATTGAAATCTCAGTGATCATAAACCATAATACTTGTCAAACGTACATAATTGAATATATATTTAACTTAATTACATTAGCCACATAGCCATAGGTCATAATGTATCTTTAATACCTTACATTTGTTTTGTGACATTCTCGTGAATACAACAATCGTAAAATTACAACAAAGACGATTATAACATTCTCTTAAAGCAATATTGTATTTAATATAGGCCTATCTAAAAGGTTATAGGTGTATTATATTGTATTGTTTTTTTAATCTAGCTCGTTGCACGTTGTTCCGCTGCGCCTTGCTTTAACACAAAAACCTCTGTTGTGCGAAACTTCATAGGGTTGTTCAAATGCTTGCGAAAACGCTGCACCTTGTGGCAGGAATCTCGACGGCACGAATATAGACACAGCAGTATATGCATCAATGTTGTATTGAGACAACTGCACAGCGCCATCCGTTGCCTTCTTCATGACGGGATCTTGCGGAACTGTATCACTGCCATACAGGATGAAATTAACCTCTTTCTGGTAAGAGACAATTTCACCTTGACGTATCCCAGAAACACCGAGCTTCCTCAGTGTCGTCTGGAAAGCCCACTTTCCATACACACTGTTCTTCTTGCCTTCTCGAGAAAACCATATTCCTTTGACACTATTTTTGTTATCACTTGGATCGAGTTTTTGGCCTGCAACTATCAAATCTTTTTGTATGGTGTGGGTTACGTGTACGATTGGTGTGTCCAAGTTAATATCGATGGCCTCAATATTAATTTTTTTTGCGTCAACCCAGAACGGTCTGCTTCCGATTCCAATTACTAAACCAGAGAAATCTGAGTTTGTCGTCTTCTTCACAGGCACTTTTTTACCTCCTAACGAGCTGAACGTTGCTTGGTTATACCTAGAATTGCATTTCTCTGCAAGATCTTCGTAATTATTTGCAAGATCTCTGCAATTCTTTTCAAGTTCTCTGTAATGGCTCATTAGTCTCTTTCTTCCGAAATCATCGATAAACAAGGGAACTTCGAGGGTTTTGAAGATGGTCAGACTTCTAAGAAATGGGATTGCATTATTGACAGTGTTTGGCCCTGTCTGATATGCCTGATCTAGGGGTGAGTCGCATCGCCATTTACGCAGAACATCGCGTATACCTTCACGTACATCCACTCCGGCGTTGGAGAACTGACCGCTTACGACATTTCCGTCAATGCGGAAAAGACCTTCAAGCGCGAGAATAGCGGCCGACGCTGAGTTCGCGTTGCTTAAAGCTTGTAGTAGGCTATTCATCACCGCATTAAAATCAGGTCCAGATTTGAAAGCGTTTAGCAGGTCGACTTGATCCATCAAGACGCTATTTATCAGCAAGCTAGTTCTTTGTTGGACTGCCTAACCTTCACACAATAATGCTTGATAATAAAAAGCAGTTGGCGTACAACGGTAGCGAAGCTAGCCATGGCAACTGTTCATGCTTAATAATTAAACATTAAAAATTTGCATAGCATGATACCTGCTGCTACTGTTTGTCTATAGCTTCGCCAGTGCCGTACAGCCAAAACGATAATAATTTATAGGACTTCAGGATTATGGTCATTCAAGAAACTGACCATATATACAGGCCAAGTGAAAGTCCTCGTGATATTAATTTCCTGTTTTACCAAGAAACATGGATATGAAGGAACGAAAATAAAATATTTCGGTAAAACTACGTACTGAATTTCACCTGAAAATAGACTGGAAGGCAGCATGCGCAATAGTACTGGTCCCATGCACCTTTTACACCCAGGATTCATCTGCCATAGCCTAGCGAGCTGGGACGGTGACTCTTTGTTGTGTCATAACTACTTGTTGTTGAACTTGTGGCAGGAATCTCGACGGCACGAATATAGAGACAGCACCATATGCACAAGGATTGTTTTCAAACAACCTTAGAGCACTATCGTCACCTTCCCGTAAAGTAATTAATATTGAACCAGAACTTGATCGTTTGTTAAGCAAAATTACAAAGCAATCATACGACTTGGGGATTAGGGTATGCTAGAACTCGACCATGCATAGGCAGAGTGAAAGTGAAATTATTAACTACTTGTTTTACCAAAGTAGTGCATGTACTCTATTTTGACACTTTTTGCGCTTATCTGCTCTCGTTTGAGCTTAATTGGAAAATAATTAATTGGTAGCTTACATTTTGCAATCTTACAGTAATTGAATTTGGGCGACTATACTCGACGTGTCGTACCTTTCTTAATATTGTTTATCAATATTGACTCAGTTGGCTTGGACACTATAGAATTTTATGCCGGGTGAATAAACAATGAACTATGATTTTGACAATGTCCGGGAAATGCGTCTGAAGTTTGTCAGTTGGTAATTTCGAATTTTGCTGCAAACTAAATTGGTAAGTTGGTATAATTTGTGAACTTGGCCTAACCAATGTCTCAACCTGGTGTCCTGGTCACATGACACGGTGAACAAGGACCTACTTTTCCGCATTTAAAAAATAGTCAATAGGTTCATCAATAACGGTGCAGTATTCGAAGCTATATACGCATGTTTTTACGTAAACGGCGATGCGAGTCACCCCTAGGTGCGGCATATGGGGAGCCAAGAGTGATTACACTCCTTACAAATCTCACCGTCTTCGAATCCCTCAAACTTGATGGTAACAGTTGTCTGTCACATATAATTAAATACCATTTTATTTTAAAAATTCAAACTTTTACTGAATGTTGTATTGAACATTTTATGAATACTATATCCACGAAAATACCGTTTTGTTTTCTTATAACCTATAGTTTGTATGCAGTAATGATTAAACTTTCAACCCTGTTTTCCACTGGCGCTATAAACGAATTTGTTCCCGCGAAACGAAAAAAAATAAATTCGGCAATTAGTGGCGAGAAAGTAGTATATTGAATTGGCTTTTCACGAAATACCTAATTCATTTGTATTAAAATGTGTACATGAGTAACACAACCAATGTCAATGACTATGGCCACATAGCATATATCCATATAATTACACATAAATTGCATAGTCGTGAGAACAGTCGTATATAATCACACAGTTATTTCGTGATGTGTACTAAAATGGCCTATCGCACCAACCTATAACTACCTGTAGTTATTAGCAAAACTACAAAATTGCCGTATATAAAATATATGTTTTGAAAGTCGAGATGCTTAATGATGATTTGTTTTCATGGACATGGTCATGAATTTATGTTTTGAAAACCCTGCATGTGAATAATTGAATGTTCTAATTTCTTGGTCTGATTCAATTCAGAGTTTTCTGGAGGTCGAGCAGTTATCAGTTTTTCTTCGGATACACAGAGAAACGATGCTTTTAATTGGATGTTATGCGATAAATTCCTTAATCTTCCTGTTTCTAATTTAACTTCTAAAAATTAATATTTATTTTCATTGGTTTCCTCTCTACGTCGGACGATTTCATAAATGGTCGGACGTTGTCCGTGACCGGCTGATATTGTAAAGCCTGCAAAATATATTTTCAAGATGTTTTCATTTTACATGATTCATGAATCTTGAAATTGTCGGCATTTTCTAGCTTTTGGACTAACTAAATTACCATTAATGCAAGGTCTTCAGGAAAGATTTCTTCTGACAGATTTCTTAAGTAATTGATCTCCTGTAAATTTATATCAACGACAATGTTTTAAAATAGGTTTTTAGTAAATTTAAACTTTTTGTAAATATAGCAATAGAACGAAAATAAGCACTGTAAAATAGAGCTGAAAGCCTTTCGAGGAACATCTAATAAACTTATATATATGTGTATGTTATTTTTTAGGTGAATGGCATATCGTTTCACCCTCAGTTTGGTACATTAGCGACCGTTGGATCGGATGGGAAGTTCAGTTTTTGGGATAAAGATGCACGTACGAAATTGAAGGTATAAACTATAAAGGCAATTTTCTTGGGGAGTAAACTTCTATAGAATTCCATCCTACTCAGAAAAAGTCAGCACCAACTATAGTGGATATCTAACCATTATTATTAAGCTACAATGTGCTTACCCTACTTTAATATTTTGCCAGACGACTTTACTCGACAAGGGGACAGTTTTGTGTCAACCAAACTATCTGACAATGTGTCTTGTTAATCCATACATTGCACCCAAATGCACCCTACTGTACATTGTTATTTCGCTCTGTCCAACAACACCTGATGATTTTACTCGTCGAGGCCGAGAGTCTTGCATATTAATATGCATGAATAATTTGCGATGAGCCTGCATGGATGATGGATCCGTTTCGTTTTTCTTATTTAAACCATCCAGTGCCAGCACTTTCATTTTGACAAGAAAACTCGTCCGGCGTTAAACAGAGTAAAACGCTATACGTCATTTACTTGATTATGTTATTTCTAGACGTCAGATCCTGCTGCAAGTCTTCCTATATCTACATGTAGTTTTGATTCAACTGGAAATATTTTCGCATACTCCGTTTGCTACGACTGGTCAAAGGTATGGTGCATAAAGCAATTAGTTTTACAGAGTTTCACCTTTGTTTGTCAGATGGTAAATCGTGCAGCATGCAAAACACTATAGTATGATTTCTAGGTCGTGGTTAGCCCACTTTGCCTAGGACATACATGGTGATGGATGATAAATAAAAAGCATTTGTTTGGTTTTTCGGACTGTGTAAGATGACTTCACCTTAAAAATAATAGAACTGTGACTTTCCGAGTGTAGCCTTGAATAGAATTACGTGAATGCTTGTGGAAGATTTGCCGACAGAGCAAAATTTGACCAAGATTATTGTATTTCATGATAATGAGGTTTCGACAGGAGCACGTATATGGGCTGCTCTCTTGCAATTCAGCAGTTAGTTACAATAATGGATGATTGACACACTCCCTTATACTTTACCCTTAATGCCTTACGATCCTACGCTGATTTTCCAGAATGTTTAACGTGTTCCCTATTTTTTTCAAGGGGCACGAATATTTCAATCCGTCCGTGAAACCGATGATTCTACTCCGCAGTTGTATGGACGAATTAAGACCACGAGGAAAGAAATAGGACATTGTCCACTCAAACAGGGACGTTTCCTATCGTAGCAGCTCACATCTTGCTGAAAGGATAGAGGAACCATTGATCAACTCGTGCATGTTTACGGCAGCTCGTACATGCCCAGATACCACTGTTACAAAAGCATATAATAGAACAAATGTGACACTATAATAGTTTTGTTTGTGGAAACACCACGTAAATTTATTACTGCATAGCTTTCGATCCGTAAGCCCCGATCTTCATAAGGGGCCGGTTGTTCAAAGGTGGGTTAGCGCTAACCATGGGTTAAAATTTAACCTGCTGTTTTAGTTTATGTATTTCTGCACGTCTGTTTATTTCAAAGCTTCAGAGAAGTAAACTCCTATTGTCTTATTGATCCTCACAAGATCTCTGAAGAAATATTTCCAAATTCATAGACAAGCTGTCAGGAAGTTTGCATGCTTTGAATTTTAGGTTAACCTAGGGTTAAGATAACCCAGCTTTGAACGACCGGGCGCAGTGCTAATAATATGCCTATCATATTATTAGCACGGATGAAGATCAGGGCTTACGGATCGAAAGCTATGCAGTAATAAATTTACGTGGTGTTTCCACAAACAAAAGTATTATATGTTTTATCGCCATGCATGCAAACCTACAAAGAACTTAAATGTGACACTGCTACATATTGCACGAATACTTTTTACATAAATAATGTAAATGGCGATTTAAAAAAGAGCAGATTACCAGACGACTGTTTTGTATTCTTTCATGAATCGTGTAATGTATGGATTCTAGTACAATTTGGAAAAACATCCACTTGTGAGTTTTTCAAAGAGACAGAGAGTTCAATTTGCACGTGAGGCTATTTTGCTCGTCTTTGAAAAACTCACTCGTTGTAGTAGATGGGTTTCCGAGTGTGTATTTAGACCTAACCAGTTGCAAAAAATACAACTATAGCCCCTCTCGCAGGAATCGAACTTGTGACACAGATTAGACATTAAGACTAAACAATAAAGTTGTAAAGTAATTGTAAACAATAAAGTTTTATTTTTAAGCACTTGTGGTCGTTGTTAATTCCGAGAAATCAATTAAGATTAGATATTAGAAGTTGTATTTCTATCTGTGCCTGCGATTCCGGTACAGCGGTCTAACCTCAGACGGCTGACGTCATGAAATGTGACATCTTTACATGCATTTATCTGAGTACATACGCCAACATAGAATCGCATACTAGTCGTCACGTGTATAGATGGGCTTATAAACTTTTATTTCTCTGAAATAGGTTGAACAAACATCAGTTTTTTGGATAACATGATTGAACATTTTCTGCTTGTGATATCTGATTTTTGACGCAATAAATTTCAGTTAAATGACGACATAAATGCTTGCTGACGTGATATTTAATTAACGCGCGCAAGAATCACGATCACTGATCAAATTGTGAAACGTCAAAAAATCAACAGGTTTTTGCAAAAACATGTCCGTTTCTTACGCGCCTACCAAGATAAAGGTTCCAGATGGTTTTGGAACGTTAATGGAAGATTTGACAAAACAAATCTTGGCTGAACAGCCCGAAGACCTGATTGGTTTTGCTGCTACATATTTGAGAGGAAAACTACATTATATGAAAGGTAGATGATATACTTTGTTAATTTTTTCGTGTTTCAAACACACGCCTATTGCTATCTGAAACAATACGAGAAAATTTAATAAGAGAAAATGTTTTTATACGTAGCCGTATGACTCGGCAAATTCATGCAATCAAATAAGGCAAACGGCGCCCTTGGCCGTACTGCCAACGATAAAATACAACCATCCATTGCATAGTAGTACATGTAATTTATTATAGCTTATTTATTTAGCTTATCTAGCCGGGCTGTCGTTTGAGCTTAATTAGGGCGACTACATTCGTGTCATACCCATTGAACTATAAATAAACTGGAAGGCTAACTGCTATGATGAAGGCCTATGATTTGATGAAGCCAAAATAGTTTTTCTGAGTTATGAGCAGAAATACTTGACCCCAAACGTCGGGCAATATATCAAATTGAAGCTATTGAAAATTGCTATTCGGTGTGGAAATTTCAAGACTTCAGCGAAAAGAAAACTATTAAAAAAAATACAAAAACAACTGCAAAACGGCAAATTATCGGTAATTATGTTTGTAGTTTTTCAACATTTCCCTTTTAGCTAAAGTCTAGAATTTTTTATACCAAATAGCGTTTTTCAATAGCTTCAATTTGATATATGGCCCAACGTTCAGTGTTGAGTATTTCTGCTCATAACTCAGAAAAACTAAAATGCACTGGCTTCAATTTCCCCCCCTGAGTTAGCCTTCCAGTTTATTTATAGTTCACTGGTCATACCTAGCTAGCGTAGACCCTAGGCCTTCTAATTTTAATCAATTTCCGCGCTTTTTCACATGAGAAGACTGGGAGCCAGGCTATTGCCCAAAATTAACCAACCTTGCGAAACCCAGCCGAGTAAAGGTTCTAGGTCTAGGCTGTGCCTGTGTCGTACCTTTGCATAATATTGTTTGTCAATATTGATTCAGTTGGCTTGGATACTATAGAACTTTATGCCGGGTGTATAAACAATGAACTATATGATTGAATCAATAATTTTGACAATGTCTGGGAAATGTGTCAGAAGTTTGTCAGTTGGTAATTTTGACGTTTGCCAACAACACCCATGCCTTCACATACACTTACATCTTTATAATTATATAGTTTTTGTGACCCCCACTTCTATACTTAAAATATTTTGGTAAACCCCCCCCCCCAAATAACTGGTCCCTTAGATACTTGTAGACACTTTGGCGTTGATTAATTTGTTATAGAACTTATAGTTTTTCCTTTGGGGGCTTTGGTGTTTCTCTGAGTGTCAATACAGATCCGAGTTACAATTTAAAACCAAATCACAAAGTCCTCGACTAATACTTTTCTGTACACCAATTTCTTCTTTCTTCAAAACCTTATTAATTCTTCGCAGATAGGAATTATGTTGCGCTTTTCTTTCACACAAAAACGACGGTGGTCGATTTGATAAAGTAATGTATTCACTCCCTGCATGAATAGTTGTTGTGGCATGAATACTTGTTGCGGCATGACTCTTTGTTGTGTTATGACTCTTTGTTGTGGAACTTGTGGCAGGAATCTCGACGGCACGAAAATGGAGACAACACCATATGCATTAGGATTGCATTCAAACAACCTTAGAGCACTATCGGTCGCCTTCGTGACTGGCCATGGCGGAACTGTATCACTTGCATACAGGATGAAATTGACCTCGTCCTTGTAAGAGACAGTTTCACCTTGACGTATCCCAACAACCTGGGCCGGTGCCGCAACCCCCAAACTCCTCAGCGTCGTCTCGAAAGCCCAGTTTCCGTACACACTCTGAAGTAGCGGTGGATTACCCATTAGTAGTTGAGACTTTGGGGCAAACCATACTCCTTCGATACTATTTTTGTTAGAACTTGGTATGAACATTTGATTTGCAACTATTGAGTCTTTTTGTTCGGTATGGGTCACGTGTACGATTGGGGTGTCCAGATCAATATGAATGACCTCAATATCAATATTGTCGATACTGACCGGCACAGGCTGTCGTGACATGGTTTGTATTGCTTGGGTTTGTATTGCTCGAGTTTGCTTGTGTTTATCTACAAGATACATATAATGGCTCATTAACCTTTTTTTTCCGTAATCATCGATAAACAAGGGAACTTGGAGGGTTTCGAAGATGGTGAGACTTCTAAGAAATGTTTTTGCTCTTCCATATGCTCCTCCATATGCCTGATCTAGGGGTGACTCGCATCGCCATTTACGTAGAAACTCGCGTATACCTTCACGCACATTGAATTCGTAGATGAACTGACCGCTATGGACATTTTCTTCAATGCGGAAAAGACCTTCAAGCGCGAGTACAGCGGCCGCCGCTGAGTTTGCGTTGTTCAAAGCTGGTAGTAGAGCATTCATCATTGTTTCAAAACCATGTCCGGACGTGAAAGCGCTTAGCAGGTCAACTGGATCCATCAAGACACTATTTTATAATCGACAAACTAGTCTTTTTGTTGGCCTGGCTAATCTTCACAGTCCTTCGCGTACAGGACTAACATTGAACCAGAATTTGATTACAAAGCAATCATATGACTTGAGGATTAAGATATTCTAGAACTTGACCATATATAGTCCCCATGATATTGTTAACTTCCTGTTTTATTGAATGGCCTGTCAATGATTAATGCATTTGCATTGTAGTGCATGTACTTTATTTTGGCACTTCTTGCGCTCATCTGCTCTCGTTTAAGCTCAATTAATTGGCAGCTTACATTTTGCAATCTTAATTGAATTCGGGCGACTAGTATATACTCGTGTGTCGTACCTTTCTTAATATTGTTTATCAATATTGATTCATGTGATGTTACTCTGAGTGTATATCCACACCGGGTAAGCTTGAAAAATATGCCTGACCACGGTGAGAATCGAACCTACAACCTTTGGAATACTAGCCCAATGCTCTGCCAACTGAGCTACGCGGTCAGATCGGTTCGAGTATGTGATATTTCGGAACAGAATCTAGTTCCTTCGATATCAATGTAATCTAATAATCAATGTAATCTAATAATCATTATTACTGATTATTAGATTACATTGATATCGAAGGAACTAGATTCTGTTCCGAACTATCACATACTCGGACCACCGATCTGACCGCGTAGCTCAGTTGGCAGAGCATTGGGCTAGTATTCCAAAAGTCGTAGGTTCGATTCCCACCGTGGTCAGGAATATTTTTCAAGCTTGCCCGGTGTGGATATATACTCAGAGTAACATCACAAGCATCATATTCACCCGGTACATTACACCAACAAAGAAAAAATATTGATTCAGTTGGCTTGGGCACTACAGAATTTTATGCCGGGTAAATAAACAATGAACTATGATTTGGACAATGTCTGGGATTTGCTGCAAACTGAATTGGTAAGTTGGTTGTCAACATAAATTCATAATTTGTAACTTGTGAACTTGGCGCACCCAACGTCTCAACCAACTTGTTAATTTTGCCGAGCCAAATTAGAAACAAACTTCCGCTCGTGCAATGTGGTACGCCTAAACCTCATATGGAAATGCTCAATAATTTTTAATAGCAAGCCTAGCTTCCCTTCTATACCTGCTGTTTATTTTGTCACCTCACCATTTTGGCGACTCACCCCTAGATCAGGCATATGGAGGAACATACCAATGGGTAACCATATTTGTTGGAAGTTTAAGCATCTTCAAAACCCTAAAAGTTCGCTTGTTTATCGATGATCACGGAAAAGAGTTTGATGAGCGATTATGAAAATCTTGAGGACATCGATATTGACCTGAACACACCAATCGTACACGTGACCCACTCCGAAGAAAAAGACCAAATCGTTGAAAATCAAGTATTCTTACCAAGTGCTAACAAAAATATTATTGGAGGAATATGGTTTTCACTGGGTTATCAGCCACGCAGTGTTTACGGCAGCTGGGCTTTCGAGAAGACGCTGGCGAGTTTGGGTGTTGAGTTGGGATACGTCAAGGTCTTTTACAAAGAGGTCAACTTCATCCTGTATGCAAGTGATACAGTATCACCAAATCCCGTCGGGAAGGCGACCGATAACGCTGTACGGGCGTTTCACAACGATCAACAGGCATATAGAGCTGTCTCCAGATTCGTGCCGTCGAGATTCTTGCCACAAGGTGCAGCGTTTGGACACGCGTTTGATGGACCTTATAAAGTTTCGCACCAACCTTTTTGTGTCAAAGTGATAGCGCATTGCAAATATCTTATGGGTTGATTCTTTACAAAAATAGTTTCATTCATAGTGCAGTGCAGTTAAAAGAAATATAACATACTTATTACATATCATCTCGAACGGTCCGGTACCAGTGTAGAAACGATAACAGACAGCTCGGCGATGTGATAGCCAACTACTGAAAATATAACTTTGACGTATATATAATGTACCTGATATATACAATGTAATGTAATGTCTAATGAAATATAATGTGCCCGAAAATATAACTATAATATAAAAATACAACGTTTTGGCAGGTAATAATTTCCAATACTAAGCGTCAGGTGGTTGTATATCCTTCTCACATCACACATGGCTCTCAGGCGCATCAGACTGGGTACGATGTTGATAACTGGTCACATGGCACGACGAATAAAGGACCCACTTTTCCACATTTAAAAAATAGTCAATATAGCCATCAGTTCATCGATATCGATACAGTAGTGGAAGCTATATATGCACGTTTTTACGTAAAAGACGATGCGAGTAACCCCTAGGTGAGGCATATGAAGAGCCAAGAGTGATTACACTCCTTAGCAGAAATCTCACATTCATGGCTTGGCTTGGCTTCGCGAACGAAGATCCTTTGAGCCTGCCGAGTTGGACTTTAAGGTGGGAGGCAGCATTGCGCAGTACTGGTCCCACCTTTTACATCCAAGATTCATCTGCATGCCATATAGCCTAGCGAGCTTGGACGGTGACCAGCTAAATCCTCGGGTCCTATAGATTTTACATCAGACTGTCCTTGTCCTAGCTCTAGTTCTACGACCTCCCTCGAAGGCACGAGACATGGGCTAGGTTCGGCTCTTAAGCCCGTTCTCCACTAGGCGAATTTTTTCGCGCGACGCGAAGCGAAAACAAATCTTGGCAATGTGATTGGTCAGCGAAGAAATTCGCCGCGAAAAATTTGGATCATTTCCTACTGTTTTGCTGTTCGCGCGAACAAATTCGCCTAGTGGAGAACGGGCTTTAGTCTGGCCTCTACCCATCAACTTGTCAAGCTTGGGTGGCCCTACCAGGACTTGTCCTATGACGTGTATACAACTTCCAAAATTTCGACTAAATTTCGTGGGCCGGACCGGCCGGTTGTATGTAAGGTAGATAGCACTATAGTGCCAGTTGAAGTACGAAGGAGGGCTCAGATGTTATCACTTGAGAACCTCCCCCCCTCCCTCCTCGGGTTATTGGCCAACCTACTTCTTCAAAAGTACCCTGGGACCGAGGTTGGTTATTGGCTAGGCTTGTCTGTATCGATGACTGGCGAAGCTTAAGCTATTGAAGTTTTACCAACATCAATAAATCGTTTAAACAAATGATGCACATATTTTACGGCGTTCGTGCATGTAATGCATTCATATGAAACTGTATGTGTAGTCAATATATTATCTGCCATGGCAATGGAAAATTCCCATTCGAATTGTTGATCTATAAATCAATGTCAAACGATTTACGTAAGTTAACACCATGTTTATCCGACATGTCGCTTGGCAACGGGTAAACAACGTTAGCGAATCAAATGCCTGCAATTAAAACCTTCAACCGTGCCGCATTTATAATCAGAATGTCGCGAAGTCGGACGAGCAAACATTAAAGATCAAAGGGGCAATCTCAGTGTACTTTGTAAAGTCGGGGACGAAAAGATTATCGATTTATAAGATCTAGAGGAATACTAATCGACGAAGAAGGTTTAGAAGTCATGGGCTGTGGGAATAGTAAGTCTGCCACCACAGTCGTATCGACGGCGCCGCAAGTGAAGCCTGGCCCTGCCAACGAGGGGAATAACAACCAAGATGAAAATCAACCGGGTAAAATCTCGCCACAAAACAATGCCACTGAAACTCCGAATACTGAAGGTATATATATATATATAAACTCGTAGCCAAGTCATAGCCGCGGGATTCGGCTTCAATTGAGACACACAAATAGCCAACAGTAGTTGGTTACTATGACTATACGTTGACTAATACTATATACAATAGTCTTCCGTCCTGTCCATGGCAAAAATTTCGTCCAAGAGTATATAGCCTAAGAATGGGTCCATATATAAACTCCTATCTATAAGTTATAGGAATCCGGGAGATTCTGCTCTTACTGAATAACACAAAAGGCCAGGGGCAATTAGGTAATATTAAACGCTTATAGTTATATACAATTGTCTGGATCGTATATATACTAGCTATATAGCCAAATTTTCTGAATTGCCAAAGCCAAAATTTCGCCTATTACGGACTAAGCTAAGCGGTAGAGATCCTTAATATTTAAGTATATATATATTGACAATAATTATATCTGAAACTCTACAGCAACTGTATTATCTAAACAACGGTTGAACCTGTACAGAGGCAAAGCTTAATATTATATCCAAATCCAAGTTAGGATCGATCTATCACACTGAAACGCGCATCTGCATATATTGGTGTACTAGCAGCTAAAAATGGAGTATAGTGCCCCTTTTTTTGGCTATACCAAGTTTCTTATCCTAACTTTAAAATGACTACAATCGTTCTCGTGTGTTTGAATCTTTCAAAGGCTAAGGTATAAGGGTCTCATGAGCACATCTGGTATAGTGGTATATATGTATAATAAATATGATCGAATTACCGCAAATATTAAACGCACTGTCACCTTAACGACGATTAAATTCTCTCTAATGTCCGATTTTGGGATTTTTGTGCTGCCATTCATAGCCCGTGTGCCATTTCTAATTTGGAGTTTTATTTTGATTTCGCGTGTTCGTTTGTTACGATTTGAAATTTAACATCTTTAATATTAATCTCAGACTTAGTGCCGTTTAGTCAAGGGCCAATGACGCAAGGGAGATTCAACGCGGATACAACGCATCGAGTTACACGATGGAATAATATTATACCCACAATGGATATAATATCCACAATGGAAAAAAATATTGATGTACGATTAAAAATGTCGTATACTGTATTCCGCGAAGTGTTGGAGAAACATTGTTCTCGAGATCATAATTTCCAGACAGCGCGCAAGCAGAAAACTCTGCCCCCCATGCAGTTGGGTTTCGAACCCCGCGACCTTCGAATTAGTGAATTACTAGATCGATACTCTACCAACTGAGCTGCACAGTCAGGACGGATCGAAGACTGGAAATTATGAACTATATACTGAATGTCATAAACATACTCGTTTGTATTAATTCAGCATCGAATAATACTAGTTCTGCAAGTGTTATATTATGTTGATATAATTCCATTTCTTCCATTTCAACTCCTTTCATAAATTAGAAATCAGTCGATTTTAAATATAGCAGTTTTGAGATGTTTAAGTATAATTTACACATTTTCTGTGTTGAAAAGCAATGCAATAGAAGTGTAAAGAATAAAACAAAATTTGAAAGGTTGCTATTGAAACATATACTTTCATGTGACGTGTTAATTTAATCGCAATAAAAGGACCATGAAAATGAGTCCCATATAGCCATATGGCATAGCAACTTTAACATATAATTATAGACCCATTATAAACCTTGCATATAACAGTAATAAAAAATTAACATATTGGAACCCCTGTTTTGACACACTGTCTCTGCTGTGCTTATAATTTCAAATAATTTGTAATATAATTTCATTTACAATGTGCACTTGCATGGCAAGATACCTATTAATATAACATTGCACTTAAATATAATATCCTAAAGTCTAAACATGTGTAAAAATGTTCCGGTTGAATTATAGATCAACTAAAAAAATAAATATTTTCCGTCCGGATATCATGAAAAAAAGCAGGAAAACGGGTCTTTTTTTCTTTTCTTTTTACAGTAAAAGTTTCAGCCGAAAATTTTTTAAAGTTTTAAATTAAATTCGAGACCGGAGTTTTGAATTTTATATATCGTACGACATAACAAAAATGCTCTTAATATAAATGAACTAGTATAAATGAACTGTATTAAATAGTTTTACTATGATTTTGTTTGTCGTTCTGATCGACAAGCAAATAAAAACTATCGACTGAGTATCGTAAAAATGCAAAAATTCATCAATTAGGATGGCGGCATGAATACTCATCAAGAACGCTGGAAACTTCTGCCTGCAAAGTGAGCACACGTTCGCTATAATTAACTGTAATTCAAGTGGTTAAAATAAATAGCTTGTCATTTGGAATGGAAAACAAGAAAAGAGAAATGGGGGCGGCAAAAATATAAAGGATGAGGACGGGGACGCGAAACACTTGTTGTTTTTTTTTAACTTTGTTTAAATGAAAGAGACCAAAGTTTGTTATTGGTTCTACTGAGTAGGGAATATAATAGAGGTTCGTTTCATGTCATGGACGAGCAGCTGTCAGCAATTTTACAGATGTAAGGCCAATTTCCACGCTAGTCGTATTTGTGGTCATTCTGACGTATGAAAATAACTGCTGACGCCACTATTCCTGTTCAGCAGTTTATGACGAAATTTGAAAATGTGACATCTTTACACGCATTCGAGTACATACGTCAGGATAAAAATTGTATATGACAAGTGGTATCATAATATAGTCGTATCATCGCGTACATAATTTAACCGTTAATTATGGCGTCAGCATGTTCGTGTTTGATATCAAGAACGGTAGTCAATGCAGTTTTACGTTCGTGATTTCAAACTTTGAGAGAGAATTTATATCTAGTCCGAATTTATAGCGGCTAGACCAACCTCGTTCCCAGACTTTTTCCTTGGACGAGTTTCCCGTCTATTATAAATTCTAGGGGAAAATATGTCTTCTGCCATTCTATATATAGCTGCATAACAAATGACCCTCAAATTAGTCTGCAAAATTTCGAAAAAGGCAATGCCTCTATCTGGTTGCTATAAGAACAACTAGATGATTGTTTTGACATTGTTTCATAAAGGAAAATTAATAAAACAAACTTGAGTACAAGGACAGCGGACGGAAAAGTCAACACGTTCAGACATAAAATTATTATTCTTTAATGGGACAAACATTAGACAAATCATGTGGGACTAACCTCCATGACAACGTTGTAATATTGACAATTTGTGTAATAATAAGAGACACATCGTGCATACAGCCACTCAATCGCACGAACAAACTCGAAATATTTAAATTCCGACAAATTATTCATTTTTTAATTAAAAAAATGAACATTGTGGACAAGACTAGGGAGAATTTTTCATCTGTTGTAGTATGAAACGACGATCACATGTAATAGTAATGTCTCGTATCGCTTGGTTACTAGGCTCGATCCAGCCGGTGGGTACGGCTGGATCGAGCCTACTTGGTTACATGCAGTATTAAAGTTTTAATAAACTATATAGTTTGCACAAAGTGTGTTATCATGTAAACGTATTTCAAAGGCGTCAAATTATTTAAACATACACACGTCAAAGAATGATTACGCAACCTTGATCAAAGAAACCGTTTTTGGTATACGAAAGCACCGAAGCGGACTGAAGATTGTAACGTTCAACACCTACAAAGCCTGGTCAAACATTTGTCTTAAAGGGTCATCATCTATACCTATACTATCCAGGCTCGCAGTTGGTTGATTATAACAATGAGAGACAATAAAACTATAGAAGTCGTCTTTCTAAAAAAACGAGTCACGAACAATGATCGTTTTTATTTCTGAAAGCCAATCACAAAACATGAGCATTTTACGTAGGTCTTTACCCCGTCTTAAAACACTTTCACTGAAATTCTTATTTCTCATTTTCTAGATTCAGCAGGCAAACCAGCTGACGAGCGGGAAGGACCCATTGGAGAAGAAGCAGTAGAGAAATACTCTGACCCTGAGAAGAACGAAGGAGCGGAAACTAGCGAAGGAAAGCCAAACGAAACAACCGCTGTTGAAACATTTGACAATACCGCTAATGAACAAACCACTTCGGAAAATGTCCAGGGAACGTCGGAGGTAGATGGAAAACCATCGGAAGAGGACGGAAAGCCGTCAGAAGACATAAAACCTTCGGAAGAGGACGGTAAACCTTCTGAAGAGGATACTAAACCTTCGGAAGAGACTACAAAACCATCGGAAGAGGAGGTCAAACCTTCGGAAGACGATGGTAAGCCTTCGGAAGACGGAAAACCTTCGGAAAATGCATCCGAACCTGCACAAGATGAAGTAAAACCGGCTGAGGAGAATTCCGCTGACAACAATGAAAACAGTAAAGAGACTGCGAAAGAGGAAAGCCAGGTTGAAGAACAACCGAAGCCTGACGAAGACTCGGCGAAAGATACCGAAGAAAATGCCGAAGCTGGTAATACGGAACCAGAACAAACGAAGGAGGATGAGATTAAACCAGAAGGACAAACAGAGACAGAAACAAAACCAGAGGAACAGACAAAGGAAGCCGAGGAAGGGACTGGAGAACAGGCGGCGACTGAGCCCGCAAATGAACAGAATGCAAGCTCTGAGCCTGCTGATAACGAACCAGCGGCAGAAGAGGGATCAGCGTAGTAGAGATATACGACGTTGTGAAACCACCGTTCAACTGAATGATGCTAGCCATTATTTGTAAATATGTAGCTTAGTTAACATGTATAAGCATTTGCAGAAAACGAATATTCACTTTGATTTTGTACATTATAACATATTGTATCAATGTGTGATTTAATTACGACACAACAATGTTTATTTTCACATTAAACATCACTACAATTCAAAAGAAATTCCAATTATACTTAAATTCCAATTGTACGTTATGATGGGCATTTTATTATACGATTCTCGCGTGGTTCATCACTTGCAACTATACGTATTACCCCCAGTATATCCATAATTGTTCCCGTTTACTTGTATATACTCTAAAACACGAATATAATACTATGACTTCCCAGGGACTTCCTGAGCTCTTTGCACGGGTGCACGAACGAGGTCTGTGCATATGTACTAATTACTTCTGTTCATAGCCATAGGACTTTTTCCCCACCTAATATCCCAATTAAACAAACCTGTCTTATGACTTTTAATAATAGCGTCCGGTCAGGTCTTTTAGTATTTGAATGTTTATTTTTTGTTGTATTTTTCGACTATGCCCGGCAAAAAAGTCCATCTATACATCGCTAGTTATTAATACGCTGTTTTATGATGCACTTGCACTTCATATGCTGTCGGTAAAAGTACAAAAAATAATTCAAAATAGATTTATTTCGCTAACAAATATTTTCCCGCCAAAACTTACCATTACCAGAGACACTTAAAACGGACTTGTTTTCGTAGCTTTCTTTGCCTTCACAGATAAAATTTCTCTTGCAGCAAACGCTTTTTAAGATTTAGTCGACTTCAGGAATACTTTCTTCATAAAGCTGCTTTTATATTACACAAAAGTGAGTATAAAGCGTTTTCAATTCGAAGTTTCGAACTCTGAAACGAGTCACTGAAGTCCGAATCGTACATCCGGGAGTTACCGCGCGCGGTTGACCAATCAGATTTCAGGATTTAGAACAATGTTTCTCATATAACCAAACGAGAAACAACTGTTTTTCAGGAAACAAAAATGTTTCTGAAAAAACCCACCATTCTTGCTTTTTTTATAAACTTTTGTGAGATTTTATTTTATGTGTAATAAACAATTATTACTATATTATTGTTAGTATGTAGTACCTATTACAAATTTGCCTGTGCGTTGTCCATGATGACATCACCAACCATGCCAATTGCGTCAATTTCAACCCGAGCACTCTAAGTAGTGAAGTAACACACGAATGAATGCCCAACTATCCAAAGATGGCAAATATACACAGTTTGCATATGGTAACTTACAGTGCTGTTGGTGGTTGAGCCCTCCCCCCAATAACAATTTGCTAAAAGGGGTTTGGGTGCACGCTTCCCCAGAAAATTTTTGTGCTACCAAAGTTTCAGAAATGCATTTCCCCTGTTTCGTAGGAAAAATTTTTATCAAAGTTGTAAAGTTCTTGGGTTTAGGAATTGAAGTACACTTTATAACTGTTTACAACTTCATCCTCGTTGTTTTGAACAATGTTTGCTCATGGGTGAAGAATTTTTTTTGGTGGTGGTGGTGGTGTACCTCAGATGGCCCTGCATATTACAGAGGTTCAGCTGTTTGATATTCATGTCAGACTAACCTTGGGTAAGTTAGCAACTTCAAGAGCTACACGTGCTGGCTTGGCAACATGGAAAACTAAAAAAAATGTCAAATGCATACTCGTTAAAAGGAGCAAAATTATAATCCGGGGTCGGTTGTATGTATATTGGCTGGATAGGTAGTGATCAACCTCATACCCAGGGCTCTTTTTAGGAGCGTAGTAGAAAGAGCCTGGTAGAAAAAGCGTAGTAGCAAGAGGACTCCAGGAGCATAGTAGAAAGAGCCTGGGTACGAGGTTGGATAGTGATTTTTTCAAACTTCGTATAATTGGCTGTTGTTGAAATTCAACTTGTGTATGTAGAAATTAAAGTCTCTTTTTATTAATTGTAAGTCCATATATCTCTTGTTTCACAGCCGTTTATGTATTTTGGTGGATAGCACTGTGGCCTTTGCACAACTGGCCCAGCGGTCACTACAAAAATTTGAAGGTTACAAAAAAAACAGTTTCTTACATTCAGAATAAACTTTGTTCATCTCATTGTAGTCATTGATATCAGCCAAATACACAGTGACTTTTACCACTTTTTCTAACGAGGACTCTCCTGCTTCCAGAATACTTTTTATATTGTTGAGACACTAGATTTGGTAATGCATGAAAATACATTAGTATTTCACCGATTATTAATGCACATGAGCCTCCCCTTGGTGCAGAGGTAGAGCAACAGTCAAGCAATTGCTCACAGAAATTTTTACAAAGACACTTTGTAACTTCAAAATTTGAAGAAAAACCAACATACATGTCTTATATGGTTGACAGGTATGTAATTCCATGAGCATGATTTTCTGCTTGGCCCATTAAGCTGCATATTGCTCCCCAATGTGCCCTACCATTGCTTTGTTCGTATCTCACTCGATTCAATAGTTGAAGGGTGTCGTTGATGGAAACCATCAAGTGGAATACATTTTATTCGAGTTTGTTGGTTAACCGAGTCAAATCCGAGTCCAAGTCAAATGTCCAAGTCATTGTTTAATCGATGGTCTTTGCAGTTCAATGACTTAGTACCCTAATCCTAACCATAATCCCACTCCTAACTTACCCTAACCCTATTCAACTGTGAATTTTATTCAATTTCGGAGTTTGTCGGTTACTGACCGACTCAAATCTGAGTTCGAGTCAAATGTCTGAGTCACTGTTTAACTGTCTTTGTTGTAAAATGACTTAGTACCCTAACTCTAAACCTACTCCTAACCCTATTTGACTGTGAATTTTCTCCACTTTCATCTTTTTTTTACTCGACTCGGGCGTTTGACTCGGGCTCGGGACTGACTTGGACTCGGATTTGACTCAGTAAATGGATTTACTCCTGACTCCCATTTTATTAGACCTAACCAGAAACAGCTGCAAAAAATGCAACTTTTGGTGCCTTGCAGGAATTGAACATGCAATTTGTGCAACACTATTCAGTGCAGTGAAAATTATGTTTGCTAGTTAGATAATAAATTGGGGTTATTTAAACCAGCTATAGTTAAGAGTTTTGGCATCTTAAATTAACTAAATTTAGAGCTTAGTTACCCCGCTTAGTTACCCGGCAGTCTTGATATATGTACAGCTATGATCATTGATCACAAGATTTACCTGTCTGGTTTGTGACTGAATATCCTCGCCAACAAATTTACTATCCTGTTAATTTAATCAAATGAGTACAAAACAAATTAGGATGAACTAGATCTGTTCATGGTGGTCTGGTCTAGGCCAGAATACGAGGGTCTAGATGCGGGGGGGGGGGGG